GTTATGATGGCTGCACACTGGCTGTCGTGTGGTCCTTTGATATTAAGAGCAGCACTGTACTGCACAATTACAGGACCAAATTGCTTCTAAGCCTATTTGTTTATGTATAACTATGCTAAAAGGTTCAGTAGAAACTGGAGTATTCAGTATATACTTGTTGAATCCACCTGTATAAATGTACTGGCTCGAGAATTCAGCCTTATTTCAGGTAGCAAAGAAAAAGACTGTTGGTTGATAAATGCTGTCTGTTGATGGCACATCCAGCTTTGGCAGAGAGGTTACCTCTATTTGAGGTGCAGCTTAGGAAGTTGCTTTCACTGCCTTTGGATGCCTGAATGTCAGAGACAAAGTGAGAATACAGTCGATCCCAGGGAAGGTTCAACTAAACTACAGCAACGTCTTTGAAAAACTGTGACATCTATTGTCTCTCTAGTTGCTGGGGCTGCTGTAACCGCCCTGCAGTGTAAACACAGTGAATTATGTATACAGTACCTCAGTCGCAGGTTGGGGATTTCAGCACTGGTTTTGTTTGACTCCCCACCCCTCCCCAACCCCTTCTTGAAACAGAAATATATTTGTCATTTAATTTAAAAAAGAATTATTTTTTAGTGCTCACCTCCCTTAATTTCGCACAAATCGGTGGGATGAGTTTTTGGAGAAATTATAAAAACTCGCCAGCTGGTGTAATGTAATCCACAACCTCTATTAATAAACAATGTGAAGATGTTAAAATATTAAATAGATTAGTAATTCATTTTATGAATATTCTACCTCAAATGCCACCCGTTCTTTGGATGAGATGATAAACCGAGCTGGTTAGGTGGACGTAAAAAATTCCGTTGCACATTTCGAAGGAGAATAGAATTTCTCTTGGTGTCCTTGTCAACCATCCCCCAGATAAAATTGGTTATCCACTTCAAGGCTGCTTGTGGGACATTGCTGCACATAAATTGACTACCGCATTACATATCTAACCATTCTTTGATGCTCCCACCATTAATTTTCCCACTGTTCCAAGAAGAAAATCAAACGAAAATATAAATTTTACAGATTAAAATGTGCATGTAACAATTTAAAAAAATGCATATCAGAACTTTTGCCTAGGATGCTCTACATTAATCTTGTGAAGCACTTTGAGATGTTTTGACAACGTGATATATCAAATGCAAGGATTATCAATTTAATAGGTGATTCTTTCACAAAGTGTCGCTTGATTGCAATGGATAGCGGTTGCTCTTCTATAGGTGCTGCTGCTTAGATTTTGTGTTGGCCACATTCCCCCATGGAAGAATTAATTTCAGTTTCTTCATCACAAAGGCTGAAGATTGATATTGAACGAAAAATCGACAAATACTGTAATTAATAAAGAACTTAATTGTAATGGTAAATTATGTGTTTCTTGGGTCTGCAATGGTGTGTGCGCTCCTGTGACTGTGCATGTAATGAGTGTTTTTGCTCACCTTTTATGGTTGTGCTGAATTTTAATGGATGCATTGGACCGAGAATCAACCAGCTTCTGAAATGAAATATATTGGAATGATTATGCACTCCAAATTGGTATAAAACAGACTAATCTCAGGGGTAGTTTCATGCAGCTACTGATTTGGACCAATGCCAGTATAACCTGATGGTAAGTCATCCCGATTGTACTCCTGAACTCACAGACACTCTTTGGGCCACTCCCACCATCCAGAACTACCCTGCTCCAGTTTCTTCTGAACAAAGAAATGAAATAAACAAAAACCATCAGGTATTGCTGCTGTATTGAGAACACACATTATAACCCGCACAGTTCAACTTGGTCTGTGACTATGCATCTGATACACTGAGCCCAGACTTATGGTATCGAATCTGTTAACCATGGCATGAGAACCACAGTCACCAAATAAAATGCAGCAGTTGACTAAAGCTACACAATGCCTGCGGTTCTTCAATTGATCTCTGTGGCTGTTTGAGAAACAATGAGAAATTTGTCTTGGTGCTGCTTTAGAAACATGCGTAAGCCAAGAGCACGATAGGAAAGATATACAATAGCTATTTCCTGCACACATGTTGCTAAGTGGCAATTCTATTTAGAAGGGCATGCAATTCTTTTTTTTTAACTTCAGGCTGCCTAAAATTGATCTTTACAACGAGAAACAAATGAACGCTTTTAATAATGTAGAATTTTCTCTTTGAGGGCAAGGGTTCATTATTCAGATTCTTTCTCATTTCGCACAAAGAATTCCGTGCAGCTTTGGCAGTCAGCAGTGTTTATTTAGGACTGGAAAGTAAGGAAGCAATGATTTTAGAATGGTTGAATAGAGGTCTCTAAGGATTTGCATAAAGCAGTATGAAAGAGGCAGAATCATGTTACAGCACAGTTTGAGGGCAGAAGGAACAAGAATTTTCTTTTCTGGCTAATAAAGAATTCATGATAATCTTCCTGATGCAAGTGGAGGGTGGAAGGAATGGAAGAGGTGACAGTGACATAGTGTGAATGTATTGATACCTCAGCTGGCACTGGAGAATAGGAGGGTGGGGGGCTGGAAGAATCAAGGACAGCTGCCAGTTAGCTGTCAAAGCAATGGAGAAATTTTAATTTGCATCATGATTAACTGAAGGCTGCTCATTGAAGATATTGACAAGGAGGAGCCTTGGACAAGAGATGCGCAGGGCAAATCACACCCGAGCTTTTGTTTCTTGAGTAAGCATAGATTAGGTGGATTAGTGTTTAGCTTTCCGGTGAGCATTTACAAAAGGTGCTGGAGACAAGCTGGTCTGCTCATCCACTAAAGACAGCTGAGTCAATGCAACTTTTGGAGACATGGGAATCAGCCAGAGGGAGAGGGAGATTTGAAGTTGAGTCAAAATGATCAACAGCTAAAGATAAAGTTAAGGAGTTCTTCACAAACAAAACTTGGGAAGATGGAGAAAATATGCAATATGATATTCCAGCTGCTTTTCATGTTTATGCTATTCGTGTATTGTGATGACTTGTGTTCAGCACCACTGCAGTGTCTTTGTTGAGCTCAGCGGTTTGTCAAAAGTCACCGTGTAATCATGTGGAAACTTCAATGATTGCCGCTGGACCAGTGTGTCCCTACACATCCTGGATAATGGAGTGTCAAAGCAAAATGGATGGGAAAGTTGTGGTTTATTGGCTTCATGTGCTGGTTATAAACCCTAACTAGATGATGGATTGGAGGGAACTGTAAGTAAATTCAAGCATCTTTTCCTGTATTGATTTACAACAGTTGACTCCAGACACCTTCATTATACTGGTTATCAATCATATTTAGTAGATCACTCTTTCAGAATTGTGAAGGTATAAATATTAAATAAAATGGGAATTATTTGAGTTTGTAAAATATGACGTTTACCGTCTGTAATGAGTGCGTGAAACATTTTGTGCTTGTGTATTTTGCTTTGCGGGTTTGCAATTGTAATATTGATCTCTACTGTAACATTGTCATTTAGAATTGTTGTTGCTTTTCTGGTGACAGAGGTGAAAATCATTCAAATGCAGTCATGCTCGAATAATGCTGGCTCAGAAACCTTAGTGTGCATTTAACTGCTCTTGTTACATCCAGACCCACTTCAAATGGCCCTAACCTTTTTTTGCATTGTGTCAGTGTCTTCTTTTCTCCAATATACAAATAAATAAATAGCCTATCCAGCAAATACTTCCAATGGAGGACTTATCTCAACATGTGTAAGTATCAGTACCAGATAATAAATCATAATTTTTTTGCAGGTAATATTTTTCTTTGAATAAATTCAAGCCACAGAGATAATCAATCCATGAATCTAATGTGTCTTTTGATATCAAACTTCCTTCTACTTGACAGCTATGCAGAATTATATTCAGAAAGAGTTTCATTTTTCTTGGTGTTCTGTTTATGCTGCATGAAGATTGCTTGTTAGAACTTCCAGCACCAGCAGTTAAGCTTCATCTGCTTGAATGAACAGTAGATGTGCAAATGCAGCCTTCAGCTCCTGCTTCCTTACACAGCCTCTCCCTAGGGAAATCCTACACTAGACTTTATTGAAGTAATAATTATTTCATCAGCTCTTGTGTATTTTTGTCTGTATTTGGATTAGAACCTCTAGAGGCTGGAGTTGTCATTCCTACCCAAGACTTAACTACTTGCTTGTTGATGCTGTGTTTCGCAAAACAAAAGTGTTCGCCACATTTCAGAGGAGGAATGTCCAATGATTCATGTAGTTTTTTTCACCCCCCACCCATTAGATTTTGTAAATCTACTTGTGCGTGAATAAATGGTCAGCAGGAAAGGTGGTGATTTTTCCTTTTCTTTAGAATTTTTTTCTATATTGTCAATTACTGTAAAGAGTGAACACATGACCGCTGATGAATTGCCAAAATTAATTTTTTATACAAGATCAAGCGTTAGTGCTTTAATGTTTTGTTTCATTGAGGTTTGCTGCTTTAACGAGCCACTGTGGTACAGAATTATTTATGGGGTACTGGGTCTGCCTGCCTGCTGTTTTTCACCTCTCGAGTAATGCAGAAATACAACTGATATAGTAGTTAGTGGGAAACTACAAAAGTGACCATTGCTGTACATTTCATCACCTACCATAGGAATGTGAATCCTCTGAAATGCTAATAACTTGTTAGATCATAATGTACTGTATGCAAAATGTTTCCAATAAAATAGCCCATCTGGCCTAATAGTGACAGGAGACTGATTTGAGCTTTTATGATGTCAATCAGATTTCAGCTGCCCTGGACGGACTCAGCTGCTGAAGCTGTTCAGCAAGTTATAGCCTAATTGAAGCTCTGCTAGGGAGAAATTAAGTGAATATCGTATTGGCCATATTTCTGCCTGAATCTGCCTATATTAGTCTCCTGACAAAACATTCTTAAAGAATTTGATTAGAATCAAGTGAGTTGATTTGTTAAACAGGCGACAATGACATTAAACATCTGTTTTCCGGGACCAAATTACATTTGCCTCTTAGTAACACTGCTGTTTTTACCTCTTCCATCCTTACAGAGCAGCACAGAAGCTGAATCTATCTTCGAAGCGAAAGAAGCACCATCCGGGTCTCCAGCATTCACACGAGTTCTCGTCTTACACAACAGATTTCAGTGGCATTCTGCAAGTATCACCTCCCCCAGCACCACCATGCCTTTTGAGGGCCGTGTCTAAAGTCAAGGACAACCCAGGCATTGGAAAGGTATGAAAGCAACAGACTGTCACTTGTCTTCAACTTAAACCTGCACACATAGATATATCCAATAACACAGTTTAAAGAATAATACCAATCTGATTTTTGAATCCTGTGCTTCTGTCAAACGTAAGTGTGACGTGTTGTGAGTCTTACATACAGAGTAAAAGTAGATGCCAGGTGACTATGGCTGACAGCTTTGCACTGTACTCCAGCAATGTCATGGCATAATAATAATAATCCTTGCATTTAATATAGCGCCTTATCAATTCTCAAAGCGCTTCACAGAATATACTGTAAAGTGAATTGACTATATATTTTGTGGGCGAAACGCAGCAGACAATTTGCGTACTGCAATGTCTCACGAATAGTCGTGGATTGACTATTATTATCTGGGCAGAAGGTGAGCATTTTAACTGGTGAAGAAGTGTATTCTCTAGTTACATCTTTAGTGGATTAACTGAGTTTTAATGTAAAATTGTCTTGTTGAAGAAGGGCACTGTACTATAGTAGGATGATACATCAATTATGGTGGGGTGGGGGGTGAATTGAAAACCATTTTCATTGAGATTTGGCATCAGCTATTATGTCGGGTTTGGTTTTATAGGATAGTGTTTAGATGAAGAAGCGTGTTTCTCGTAGTTGCAGTCATACATTTTTCTTGTCGGTAAACCATTATTTAGAATGATTGCTTTTTATTACACTAATATTGATAAAATAGTAACGGTAATGTTTGTGCATGGAATCATCAATCATAATCATTTACAGTTTCTTGGTAATACATTTTGCGAAATGGTCTACGTAACTGTACTGTGAAACACCACTTAAATTAAGTTATGGAGCAGCGTAATTTAGTTTAGGATCTGTCTGGTGCAGTGGTGAATCAGATTTACTGAAAGCGTATCAACAGAACAAAGCCCATTAATTCAGATCATGGCCACTTAAGAGTCCTCTTGCATGCTACTACGTCTGGATGTTGGGTGAGGACGATATCAGCCTCGGCTGTCATGCTCCCATATCTGAACAGCTTGCCAACGGTGGCCATTTGGGTTCAGGGACTATATGTTGGCTGGTACCCAAAGAATTGTACCCCTGTGCAAATTGCCCGCATTTCTGTCGTGTGCTTTGAACCAGGAGGATGGGGTGCATACAGGGTTTGAAAACTGAAAAAATTCTACAATAATATTAATCCTTGCATTTGATATAGTTCCTTATGACTCTGAGCCAGTGGGGGTTGGGGGTTGGAGGTGGCTATAAGCACGGTCGAGGAGGAAAGTTTTTAGGCAGGACATAGGACTTAAAACCACAACATTCTGACTCAGTGGCGAGAGTGTCACTACTGTCAGGCTAAAACACACAATCTTAGGTCATATTGCATTCTGGTACTATGTTCTATAAATCACTGGAAATTAGTTCAACTCTACACTTTGTCTAGTTATCAAATTGCTCCTATGAATGACTGAGGATAAGATAAGGTTTTTTAGCAAGTACTCAGGGTTAATCACTCTACATATACTATTTGAAATTAGATTTTACTCTGAAACTAATGAATGTACGGTTAATGTCATGGGTTAATTAAGTCGAGTGCAGGTGTATGTTGGGACTATTACTGTTTGGCTGTGGGTCATTTCTTGTATGAAACATGTCAGGGCTGCATTGAAAATGTGTGTTTTTCTTTATAATAATAATAATGTAAGGATTTGCATTTGATATCTGACCGTTTTAAAGTCAAAATGATTTGTAGCGCTTTATAAATAAGATCTGCTGACAAATGTAGTGACTGTGTGTGTACTTGTAGGTAAATGATACTCTGTACCTGTCACATTTATTTTTGACAACAACAACAAATCACATTTTTACATATTTATACATATATTCATTTCACAGCTGTACCAAAAAAACATTCATCATTATCATTTACCTTTTTTTTAAAAAAATGATCTTGATAAAATAACTGATATATACATCAATATTTAAAAACTTGTTATCGAGGGCAGGAAATCAAAAACCTGGCAAAGCTACATGTGTTTCTGCTGTCAGCCAAATGGCCTTCCAGGAAGCCTGGCCTGAAAATGTGCCTCTCTACAAAGTTCCAGCAATAGCATTTTATGTACAGGATTCACAAGCAAAAGAACAAGAGCGATTTTCCCTTGCATGGTTAATGCATGATAAAACTTCCAACCAATTCAGAGTATGGCTGATCGTTCAATCTTCCTCGCGCACACTGCATAGAGGGAGGACAATGAATCCTCAGTCACTGTGGATGAATTGTCATTTCATCTTATCATGCACAGCTTCACAGTGCAGATCTATCTATTACCTGATGCGATATATGCTTAAGCATATGTTAATAAATTCACAATCAGGACATGAGACATGAAAAAAAGAATTTTCATTTCAGCACTTAATAGAACTGCTTCCTTCATTCCTGATATGAATGTGGTTTATATCGTAGTTTTTGATCAGGCATTTGTTGCAGATGTAGGTTCTGTAGCTCTGTGGAGATAGATCTTTATATGTATTTCTTGGAACATTTTAATTGTGTACATGGAAGCTTTAGTTCTTCCCCCACCCACCCCAAACCCCTCCACATACCCTCAAAACATATTATTTTGAACATTTGTTTTTGAACTACACTCAACAAATGTCTGGCAGTAGTGCTCCCCAACATTTCTTTGAACAACAAGTAAGTGCTCCACAATTATAAAGCTTCTGTCAGTTTTCCTGACAGAGACCTCTTTCGTGAGACGTGCGGCAAAAAAAAGAGAAAAGCAATTAAACTATCCCGTCTTGACACAAAATGTGCTTAAAAGGGTTGATGCCACGAAAGTCTGATGCCTTTTTCTCTTTCTTGAGTGCACTGAGAATCCTTCTGCCAGTTTTTTGTCAGGTAACTACAAAGATACAAGGATTCTGCAGCTATTAAACTTGTAAATGTGACACATACAAACTGTTTTAGGAGTAAGATAGAAGATGCAGTGTATGTTTTTTTATGATCTGGTTGATGTCAGACATTTGTGTGTTTCCGAGAGCAGAAAAGATGATTAATGCATGCAAAAGCAATGAATAATTTAAACTCCCTTTAAGAAGGCAACATCTTGCATCTTCTGTCTTGAAAATGGTGCAAAATGGAAACAAAAGTTGTAAAGTGAGAGGATGTGGGTCCTTTTATGGTGCAACTTCATTTGGTTACTTGACTGAAGCTCCATGTTCACTGGTACTGTTCTCGGAATAGGTTTGACTTGACTTACTCAGTGTTACTGCTAAGATAAGCAACACAGCAGTTCTGTTTACACCACGTTACAGAGAGGCAGCTTTGATGTTGATAACTGCGGACAGATGCCCAGAGTCCTGTTGGTTAAACTGCAAACTCAGAATATTTGAGAGATGCCAGGCGGATGATGTCAGAGGTTGCTGACTTCATCCAAATTGTATCTATGTTGCCACATGCTGATGAAATAGCTATTTGGCTTTAGTATGAGCTGAACATTTAAACCGATCAAAGGATTTGAAGTAAATTTGCCTACAAAATGCACAGTCACTACACTTTGCAGTACTGCCTAACCATCCCGTGAAGCTCTTTGTGATGTACTCCTGGTGTGAGAGGGTCTGTATCAAATGCAAACATTGTTATTATTTTATTTTCAACTCAGAATCTGAAACTAAAGTTCTCTTAATGAATTGCAAAAAATATTCTATGGACACTCTTTTTGTGTCATTAAAATGCAAATATTTGTCATAATTATTACAAAAATAAATTGGCATCCAGCCTTGACTGTTCTGCCATATCTACAGACGGTATATGTGTGTGAACATGAGAACGATCTTGAAGACTAAATTAATCCAAGTCAGATGCATCTCATCTGTCAGTCCCAAATTAAGTCTACAAGAAAATTGTCTCCAAACTGAGACCTATATAATGTGATTTTCACTCCAGACCAATAATCTTGGATTATTTAATTGTGATTCATGGCAGTATTACTTAAGGTTAATTAAATACAATATGTCCTTCGATTAAAAATCCCAATTTGAAGATTTGAGAGTAGCTTGGTAATAAACGTATTATACGTGTGACTGCAGAATGTACACAGCCAAGGGTGCTGGGCAATACAATTCTATGAATCTATTCTCAGATTGGTGGATGGATGTGATCAAGGTGAATGTGGGAGGCATAATAAAGTTGATTTCAATATTTTGCACTTCACTGTTTGTCCAAGATTGAATCCCTTATCTGTTTACAACAGTCAGTGTTGAGCTGTTTGTAGTATATTGAAAATACCCAAGAAACCACAGCAGAAATTACCCTTAATGTAAGGCATCATAAGTTAATTGTGTAGTAATGTGAAATGACAGCGGTGGCTTGCTCATTAAAATGATACCATAACTTATTCTATCAGAAGATTAAATTGAAGAATTGTAACTAAAATGTGTTTAACTGGCTAAGGCAGAGTTGTATTGGAATATTTATTTCATCTACTAGATTATGTTATTCTCCAAATGCATATAGCTGGTAATAACTATATAATGAATAAGAATAACCCTGTATTTGCTATAATGCTTTATCATGTCTTCGAGATGTCTCAAAGCACTTCACAGAATATACTATAAAGTGAATTGACTGTATTTTTTTGTGGGTGAAATGCGGCAGCGAATTGCGCACAGCAGTGTCCCACAAACAGTCGTGGATTGAATGACAAAATGATTCAATTTTTTAAATTCTTTAAATAAAAATAACTACAAGGTTACGGAAACTACAAGGTTACTGAAGCAGATTACGAAAACTGCTATGAAACACTATTCTGACTTCATTTAGCTTTTATGGGCAGAGACAGCCTTGAATCTGTCATTTCCAATGCACTTTGTCATTCAAAGCAACTGTTTCATTTATTTTAAGGTTCGCCTGGTTTCTAGGACTGGCTTTTTGTATTCATGTCAATATCAAAAGTAGAGAGCTGTCTCTGGGATAGAACATAATGTATAATGTAGGCAGTGTTGAAAGTGAGGAATGTGGTACTCACTTATCATTATTAATTCTACTGTTCAGAGATTTATTACGTACAAGTTTTCTCCGTGGGAAAGGAAATATGACTTGGGTCTGCTTCATGAGTGAAAAAAGTAGAAATAAAATGGCTCAATAATTGCTTCAAAGATGAGTTCTTCTGACACTTGAGTTGTCTGATCAAATGAAGATAGTAGCAGCTCTCCCAATGGCTCACTCAATAAAGCCACAGCATTGACTAAAAATGGCAAATATGGTCACAAAGGGAAAATAGCTCACTAACTGTTTAAGTTCAAGCAATAATAATAATAATAATAATAAGAAGAAGAATCCTTGCACTTGATATAGTGCCTTACCATATCGTTCAGATATCTCAAACGGCTTCACAGGATGTACTGTAAAGTGAATTGACTATATTTTGTGGCCCAAAATATGGCAGCTAACAAACAGACGTGGATTGAGTGACCAAATTTTTTTTTGACGGATTGTTAGCCCTGGAAAACAATCCGTCAATTGACTAACAACAAGTATCAGAAGGTGACCAATGGTTGTAATCCAGCATATCAACAACAGGGGAGAGAAGTGTGCAGGGGAGGGAAACATTAAACAATGTAGCAGAAACATTAACTATATCTGTGCTATACCATGTTTGCTTGTCAGTTCAGCAACTAATCTGTGCCATCATCATTCCAATGAATCTGTGCAGAATTTTCAGTTTGGATCAGGGAGAAATTTTGGTTGGTCTACTGGGAAAAAATCTCACTGTTCTGCTCTTTTTTTGACGTAATTCCATAAGATCTTTAACGTCCACCCAACAGGCAGACAGAGCCTTATTTTAATGCCTCATACGAAGCATGGCACCACGCTGACAATGATCTTGAGCATCCATCAGTGGAGCAAGTGAGGTGTCAGATTAACATTTTATCTGAAAGGCTGTGTCTTCATCAGTTCAATGACCTCTTAACACTGAAAGGGATGCCAAAAATGTTCTGGATGAGCTAAAGGCCCCAGAAAGGACTGAACCCACAACATTCTTGCCCAGTTATAAGACCAATACACACTGAGTCAAGGTACTCTATTGTGATGGTGTCTAAAAGTTTGCAGTGTAATTTTTTTTCATACTTGCCTTTCTTTTAGTAGTTGTCCACACAAGTATCATAATTCAGCACGTATAGCATTATTAAATTAGGAATCCCACTCTGAGAAAGAGACGATATACATGGCACCCTTCTGAGGTTAGGGTTTTAGAGTTAAGACTCATTAATTGGGGCAGAGCAGAGGAAGTTTGACTTTGCACCTAAATGTATTATTCTTACACTACATGTAAGAAATAGAAAAGTGCTGTTCAGTATTTCATTCTCCAGCACAACTCGAAGCTGTAGTTTGTAAAGCACAAATATCTGAAAATAGACTTTACATCTGTGATTTTCAACTGTTCCCCCTGATACAGATAAACAGAATGTATAACTTACATTTCTAAATGACTCCGTTTCTTGGGATTTTCTTTCTGTCCTACCTACACTTTCCTCTCCTTTCTCACTTTTATTGGGAATTTTCATATAACATGTACCATTCTGTGTTTTCTGAGAATCTTGGCTGCCTTGATCAAATCCCCATAGATGGCTACAAATTTTGCAAGATAATTGTCCGGTATATATTTGCCACAGGGCTCCCATTAATGACTGAGATAGGCAAATTGGTTAGCTTGCTTTAATAAGTCCTGTCTGTTATTTTGTCTTCTGAATGTTAGCGTTACATAACTCCTATAAATATTATATTTCTTTGCAAATTACTTTTTTTTAAAAATGACAACCTGAACAATTTTTCTGTTTCTATATCTCTGGATACGTTTCATTTTATAGAATACTATTACAATGTACTTACATTTCCTATAGTTTTACCTTTCCTCATCTGAATACCTGAATGCATCTATCTAACGGATCTTCTAAATTAAAATTGAATCTTAGAATTTGAGAACAATTCTTCATTTACAAATTCAGACATGCACGACTGTTTCCATTGTTGCCAGCAGTTTTTTGGACTCTTCCAATGCCCTGGTTCACAGGGTTTGATCAAACTTCTCTATTATTTGAAGCCATTATGCAGTATCACACTGGATGAACTGAGCATAATTGGCTGCCGCGTTTGCCCACAAAATATATAGTAAATTCTGTTCTGTGAAGCGTTTAGGGACATCTCGAAGACATGATAAGACGCTATATCAAATGTAAGGATTATTATTATTATAAGATAGGCACCCTGCATTAATATGCACAACTCATGCATGCATATCCCCAAACTGAAAAAAGCCCAATAACTATAACCTGTCTTATACATCCACGCATTAATGTACCTGAGATTTTAGACTCTTAAAAGTAATATATAAAATAGAGCTGTGTGAGTAAACGGTATCAGAGGTTTCTCTTGGTTTCTGAACGTATCTTGCTGAGTGTGGCAGCCAACTCCTTGTCCTACTATTTGGATTTCACCATTAGTATAATCCATTAGCGTTTGAGGAAGACTTTGAAATGTTCTTTTGGAGTGTATTTGCATTTGCTGATCTGTCTGTAATGAGACTACTGAAAGCGGTTATTGTAGCTATATTTATTGTTCATAGCTGATCGCTTGGAGAAGATTGATTGTGGTCATTTTCTTCCAGGTGAAGGTAATGGTACGGATCTGTCCTTCCCAAGGAGCAAGTGACACATCAGAGTCCATGTCTTTCTTAAAAGTAGACTCTCGTAAAAAACAAATAACCCTCTATGACCCCTTGGTGAGCGGACATGTAAGTTCTGCTCACCGTCGAACAATTGTTGCTGCTCCAAAAATGTTTGCGTTCGATGCTGTGTTCACCCAAGACGCCTCACAAGTAAGTAGAAACCAAGTCCTGCAGTTGAATTGATTACTACCTAACTGCTTGATTCAATGCTATATTTATTTTTAAATTATTTGAGCACACATAATAATACTGATTGGCTAATGCGTTTCACTTATCTGTTCTAACATTCCTAGGCGGAGGTTTGCTCAGGAACAGTAGCAGAAGTCATCCAGTCTGTCGTGAATGGCGCAGATGGCTGCATATTTTGCTTTGGTCATGTCAAGCTTGGTGAGCTCCCAAATTCGTTACAGTTAATTACAATGTCAGGCTGGTAATTACATACTGTCAGCTTCTGCAACAATAAACGTAGAAGTGACTGAATAGATTACAATTTCCTTTTCAATTGACTTTGCAGACTTACCAAATTTTGTTTCGAAATTAATTCCTGAAGTGTTAATAAGAAAGGCAGTAATAAGCTTTAAAGTACAGCAAACAGCTCAAATTAGATTTTCCCTTTCTTACAAGTACCATGATATTATAAATATTAATAACAGCAACTCGAAATGTGGAAGCAATTCAAAGAAGCTTTTCTTTTTGGATTGTTCTCATTTTGAAATTAGTCTTCTTGATGCTGTGTTTTGCCAATTTATATTTCGTTCAATTTTTTAAAATATGCATATTGTGCGGAAATGATTCCTTTATCAAGGAAAGAACATTTGTAAATATTTAAATACACGCCGTAACTTTGGGATTTTCATCCTGAAAATTAGATAAAAAGAATCCATATCCAGACAGGGTTATATTCATAAGAGAAACTGTCCTTGCAAGATATTTTCCACAGACCTCCTCCCTTCCTACATATCTGTAGCGATATTCAGTCCCTTTTCAATATATTGATTACATTTGAAATGTTCTTGAAAGTTATTTTCTCTCCGCAAATACAGTTAATGTGTCCTGCTATGTGTGTGTGTGTTGGGAGCAAAATTCCCGCGTCGGTGTGATCCGCATTCAATATTTATAAACCTTTCTTGAATCCTGTCAAGAATTTTAGACCACAGTCCTGAAGTGTTAGAACAGCTAGTAGCCCACTGGACCAGTCTATGCCATTTTTGTTCCTCCTCTTGTAACCATCCTTTGTGCTTCTGAGTGAAGCTGCCAGTTTGGTGCTGAAATAGGGGTTTATTTTGTGTCTCACTGGTAAATGAGTTGAAGTTGATTAAACTTGTTTCACATAGGACTCTTGCAACAAAAAGAAAAAGACTTTCATCCAATGTGTTTGAGCTAGTTTGAAAGGCAGGCCTTAAAGACGATAAGTCCCATGTTTGCCAACTAGCTCCTTCCACCTCCACACTTTAATGTCTGCACCCTGTATCTCGGTTCTGTAACTGATATTGGTGGCCAGGATTTCCTGTGCATTCTCTTAACTTCTAGGTATTTTTTTTACAGGCTGATTTAGTTTTTTGAGGATTACATTTGCCTCCATAGTTTAGAAAAAGGCAAAGCAAGTAAGAAGTCTTCTGGTAGTGAAGAATTTCACGTAAAACCGATTGATTAAGAGTCTCTACAGAGGCTGAAAATGTGCAAGCTGGCTATTAAAATACTCAGGCAGCCGGTAGCATTTCAGAACAGACCATACATTGGGACCCAGTCAATAAAATCCTTACCATTGATTCCGTCCTGGAGCTATGAGGGAGACTAATCTTCTCAAATCACTCTGTAGAAATTGCTGTGGGGGCATTTCTTAATTTCCAAGGCATTGTCCCATTGGTCACATTCTGGGTTGTCTAGAAGTGATACATTATTTAAAGAGTTAGAAGCTTTAGCACACTCAAAATTATATGGGACTATTGGCACCTATTTGCTAGAAACCTCACGGCAGTTTAAAGGCAGAGCCAATATTGTGATAAGTATCTCACTACACATCTAGCACCCGCTAAAACTTGACGGGTAACTTCCTTCTATAACTAGGGAGCAAAGCTGGGAGAATGAGGTTATCATAGTGCCAATTGCAGTATCACATTAATACAATTATGAACCAATATGAATGACCTCATGACTCCCTATGGGAGGGTAACTCTAACACAATAAAATAAACAGGCAGAGAAGTAGAAATACCAAATGTTTCACCCTCTTCTCTCAGAAATGTTTTGCAACTGACTATGTTCTTACTTTGTTGGCATTTTCATTTGTCTATGGTATAAAGTCAAACTGCATCTCAACATGCTTTAGGCACATTTAAAAATTGAAATTCAGTGTAACCTCATTATTAATTGTTACTTTTTGTTGTCCGATTAATACACCAAGTGTATTAATTATTGAAATTAGTTGAAAATGCCCATGTGGGCATTGAATGCATGTTATATATCATAACTAGTGGAATGACATATGGTTCCACTTCAAAGTTTTTAAAGCCTATTAGTGAGTAAATTTTACCTCTGTTAATAAGATGACATTAGTATGATCCATTTAATGCCTAGGGAATATTTAGTGTATCTAATTATTTATGTATGTGATTATCTGTATTTTTTAGATTATTGAAGGAATCCAGCATTCAGATTTATCGTTTGCATTTTAATTCCAGGGAAATCGTATACTATGATTGGAAAGGACAATTCAACACAAAACCTGGGATCATTCCCTGTGCAATATCCTGGCTTTTTAAACTAATAAATGAACGCAAGGAGAAGACGGGCACTCGCTTCTCGGTCAGGGTGTCTGCTGTTGAGATTTGGGGCAAGGAGGAAAACCTTGGGGATCTGTTATCTGAAGCAGCCACTGGCAGTCTCCAAGATGGCCAGTCTCCTGGTGTCTACCTCAGAGAGGATCCAATCTGTGGAACTCAGGTACTTTTACTGTTAAATATAATTACTGTTATAGATACATTGCGAGGTTTTTGATGTGCTTTCTCAACTTCTGCCATTTCACATTCGATTGCGAAGAATGTTTGATATTTTCCAGACGTGTTTTAACTATGTTTTAAATGTCATTGTCTCGCTCTCTTTTTTTTTGCCTTACCTTTTCATCCCGGCTCCCTTGGTGTGCATATANTTTTTATTAATTGCCCGAGAGAGTTAATCTGTTGATCCGAAAACGAAACCCTGTTCCAATTAGACACATTTCTCTCTTCACGTTCAGCTTCAGAATCAAAGTGAGTTGAGAGCCCCCACGGCAGAAAAAGCAGCCTACTTCCTTGATGCTGCAATAGCCTCCAGAAGAACCAGTAGGCCTGATTGTGATGAAGAGGAAAGAAGAAACTCGCATATGCTCTTCACCCTTCATATCTATCAATACCGGATGGAAAAGAGTGGCAAAGGGGGAAGTATGTTCATTATCCTCCATTAATTGCTAAATGGCAAATTCTAATTTACAAAACTAATTTAGCCTGCGTGAGTGCACGGAACCACCAATAGCACCTTAACGTCAGTAATTGACTAGAGGCATCTGACTGCTGAGAAAGCTTCACATTTTGCCCGTCATTAATATTTCACACGGTCGATGCCCCCTTGATACATTTCGTTATGTTTGTCAGTCGAATAACATCAAAGCGTCTAATTGGGCTTGTGCACTCTTGCTGTGTCGTTGCAGTGTCAGGAGGACGCAGTCGCCTGCACCTCATTGATTTGGGGAGCTGTGAAAAGGTTCTGAGCAAGAGCCGGGATGGTGGCGGTGGACTCTGTCTGTCGCTCTCAGCTCTAGGCAATGTCATTTTGGCGTTGGTCAATGGTGCTAAGCACATTCCATACAAGTAAGTGATATATTATACATGGGCATTAACATAACTTCAGAGCTAATATAAATGCAAATTCTGGGAAAAGCATTTTGCCACAGGAATTGTGAGGCCATGGAGAAATAAGAAGCTAGCCTTCCGCGGATTTTTTAAAAAAAAATCAATAATTATTTTTTTTTGCCTTAATACCAAATTTCTCATCTGGGAGAATTGCAAGTTCATTTATTTATTATTTAAATTTACTGCTATGTTGAAGGTGTGGTCTTGTGCTGGGGCTCAGTTCTATAGGCACTGGCAGCTTTCGTGTTGCCTTACCTTAAGAGAGACTGTAGCACATGCACAAACCTAGACAATGAACATCAGTACCCCATCTCACATGGGAGGCATCAGAACTGTGCCCGAAACTGTCCTTAACCAATCCTCACATTTGCACTTTCCTGAAAGGGATCTAAGTGAGCAGAACCTTCCCTCAGGAGGTCAAATTGGTGGATGGATCTATAACCTATTTGCCAAAATAAGTTCTATTTTGAAGCAGATGGTTTCCTACATTTCTGGTTTTAAAGAACAGAAGGTATAGAATATATATGGAACTGGATTGTATTCTGCTATTGTACCTGAAATTAGATATCATGCTAATACTAGTGTTAATACTAATTCAGATACAAAGCAGCAACACGTATAGATGACGAGATGAATATTCTCTCTCGGAGAATTTCTAAATAGCCAGTCGATTTTAAAATAGTTACTCCATCTGTGTAATTGATTGTACTTGTTTCACTGTTTAATCTAGAGATAGCAAGCTTACTATGCTGTTGAGAGAGTCACTGGGAAATATCAACTGTCGAACAACCATGATCACGCATATTTCTGGCTCTCCTAACAACTATGCAGAAACCCTTACAAGCATTCAGCTTGCAGCACGAATTCATCGAATGAGAAAGAAAAAATCCAAGGTCAGTGACCTCGCTGAATTGTTTCACATCTAACCCTTTCACTGTGAATGACATTAAAAGCCACCTCTCATGGTGAAATTGTTGAGGCTTAAATTTCAAATGTGCGTTAGCTTGTAAGATGCTAAATTGAGCGTTGGCGCTTTTATCTCAAGTTCTTACTTTTCTTTGTACACACTAGTATGCCTCAAGTTCTTCTGGAGGGGAGAGTTCATGTGAAGAAGGTCGGATTCGAAGGTCGCCTCACCTGAGACCCTTCCACCCAAGAACTATAGCTCTTGACCCAGAACTTCCTGTGTTAGGAATATCCAGCGACCCAGATTATTCCTCAAGCAGTGAACAATCGTGCGACACAGTTATTTACGTCGGTCCCGATGGTGCAGTGTTGTCTGATCGGGATCTCACAGACAATGAGGGGCCCCCAGAGTTTGTACCTATCATCCCTTCTCTGAACAAGCGGTATGAAGTTAAGAAAAACAGGGAAACTACCACTGGTGGTAAGAGCACCGAAAAGGACTATTTCAAATGCAATACATTTGCAGAATTACAAGAGAGATTAGAATGTATTGATGGTAGTGAAGCACCCCTGAAGTTTTCTGCTGAACAAGGACTTTTCTTATGTAGCACTAGTCCAGTTTCTCTCCAAGGATGGATGGAGAATGTGCCATCTACCACAGTGCAGGAGAAAGCTCAATCTGTTACCGGGCAAGAGAATGGATCTCCACGAATGTATGGAAAACACCCTTCAAAAGAGGCAATGATGTCCCTAAAAAGGGGCAAGGTGCACATTCTCAGATTCCTGCAGAGCAGGGTAATGGTTCTCCAATGATGAACCCACCTCAATCCAAAACAACTGAACACTTAAGCCTGCAAACCAAAGCTGAAGGAAGTAAAGTGGAATTAAGTAGCGATGCTGGAACAGATGGAATCCAAAAGACAATCACAGCTTCCTCGAACATGTCCAGATCTAACTGCCCTAAAGCACAAGAACAGACAGCAGGTGCACCTGCTTCTGTTGTGAGGGAGAAATCATTGTTTTACAGGAGACCTTTGCCAAGTCCTGCACCGCCACCTCCACAAACAAAAGACACAGTAAAGATTTGTTCAGAATTCAATAGCAGATGTGTGGTTCGAACGCCTCCAGTGGGAATGAGCCATCAGGTGTCCAATAAACAAGAGTGCAGTGTAACAGGAGGTGCTCTCGCACGCTGCAGAGGTACACACAGCCAATCTGGTGCCAGAGACATAAACGACTTAAAGTCGGCATTAAGGACCGGTTGTATCGACCGAGACATGCTGACTACCACTGTGACCTTGCAGAAGCCCGTGGAACTTAACGGAGAAGACGAGCTGGTATTTACAGTCGTCGAGGAGCTGTCATTCGGAGAAGTCCTGGAAAATGGTCGACCTGCCAGTATTATTAGCTTTAACAGTGATTGTTCACTTCAGGCTCTGGCCTCAGGCTCACGGCCCGTCAGCATTATTAGTAGCATCAATGATGACTTTGAAGCTTATACCTCACCAGCAGCCCACGCTGGAGTAAATATTGACATTGTAGTGCCACTTGTGGAGGCCTCATTTTGCAGCAGTAGCAGGCGTTCATCTATTAGCTCCTGGCTTAGTGAAGTAAGCGTTTGTACTCTGGAAAGCGATTGCGCCCAGTCCTCCGACGGTTTGGTGGCACAGTCTTGCTGCAGCTGTGGCGAGATGTCTCTCGGGCCTTTTAAGTTGGATTCACCTGATGAGCTGCAAGACACGACCGTGTCACTGCCACACACTCCAAAAAGCACGTTGAACGACAGTGGATTCTGTTTCTCTGAACTGGAGAATGAAAGTGCTGGTTCGAGCAAGCTTACTGTCGACGGCAACAAAAGTTCTGATGCCTTAGGTTCACCCAAAGCAGCTTCAAGCAAATTCGTGGCCGATGCTACCAATTCCTCAGTGATGAAATCCAGCACTCCAGCACATTCTCCCGCCCCAGGGATTTGTGAAGAGGTTCCTATTAGCCACTGTAGTCTTCCCACGACCAGGAAAGTAAAACCTACCTCATCTGTGAGCCACAGTTGCAGCACTGTGAACTGCGCAGACACACAAAGGCAAGAAAACAAACTCGCGGACCCTTGGTTGAAGCGCACAAATAGCCAACTGGAACCAAAAGCAGGGGATCAAGCTCTTTCAGCTAAATCCTCCACTAGATCTGGAAATAGTATTCAGGCGAAGCAGCAAATGAAAACAGCCCAGAATACCGGAACTCTTCCTAGACTCAACAAATCCTATACAACCATTTCCTGTACACACAGAGTCGTGGACGGTTGCGAGATGGCAACTAAATCCAACGGAGCAAATGGTACAAATGTCAGAAAATGTGAGGGGCCAGGAAGAGCAGCACAGGTCAAGAAAGGAAGTGCAACCGTCGCGACAATGCCGATAATGCACACTTGCGCCAACGTCGGAGCTATCCCCAAGAGTCAACAAGATTATGCTTCGATTGCCGGCAGTTTGAAATCAACTACGGGGAAGAAAACATCAGCGCCGAAGGCGAGCATGCTGCCAAGGCTCAGTGGAACTCCCCCAGCACCGCCCGTCCGTAAATCTAGCTTAGATCTGAAAAACCGAGCCACGCCACTAGTTGGCGCCCAAAAAGGTACTGCTTCAGATACAGTTAAAGCGACCTCACCAAAGCTAGAGGATGAAATCGATGGAAGACCAAAGGTTGCTTCTTGTGTCGGGGAAGGCAGCATGAGTAGACCAGCAAACGTGAAATCTGACCAGACCTCTGCTAAAAATGGTTCGAATCCCAAATCGAAGTTGCCTAAACTCGAAGCTGTGCAACGCTGTGGGAGTCAGGCATCCCTGGAGAGATGTGATAGCTTGTCTTCGGTAGGGTCAAAGAATGGTGTGGTTAAGGAAAATGGTAACCTCGGCAGCAACAATGGCAGAACTGGCCGATCGGTACCACGCCTTGGTGTTTCACCTTCAGCTCCAGCGGTCTCCTCCCCACCCATTTCCGTAGTCCTCGGACCAGGTAAATCCAATCAAACCAAATGTGCTTCCAATAACAAAGTAGTGGTGTCAGGCGGTAAGTGTCGAAGCCTTTCTACAAGTGGAGCCAAGGTGTTGACCACATCTGTGAAGTCGCTAACCCAGTCGATAGGTCGAAGTTCCAGTGTTCCGCCAAATGGAAAAACAATACCTCGCTCGGCTCAGCCAGCAAATTGTAAACCCGGCAAAGGAACAATCATGGGAACAAAGCAAGCAGTCAGGGCAGCAAACAGCCGTGTCTCCGAGCTGGCATCAGGGGCCTCTTCTAGTAAAATGGGCCATTTGAGAGGATCTACAGACTCTGACAGTGGAAATGACAGTGGGGTGAACCTCAGTGATGAAAAATCACAGATACCAGTCTTGCCTTCTCCGTACAGTAAAATAACTGCACCCCGACGACCTCAACGCTACAGTAGTGGGCACGGAAGTGACAACAGCAGTGTTCTCAGTGGAGAGCTGCCTCCAGCCATGGGAAGAACTGCTCTCTTTTACCACAGTGGTGGCAGCAGTGGCTATGAAAGCATGATTCGGGACAGTGAAGCCACTGGCAGCGCATCATCAGCACACGACTCCATGAGTGAAAGTGGAATGTCTTCGTCTGGCCGCAATAGGAGTTCAAAGTCCCCGAAAAAGCGCGCAACAGGTCAGTCAGTTATCTCTCTGGCAAAATACTACAGATACTGGAAAACTGAAGTACAAGTCGCTGGGAACACACAGCAGTTAGGCAGCATCTATGCAGAGAGGAAAATGAGTTAATGTAACTTGAAACGTTAACTTGTTTTCTTCTCTTTATAGATGCTGCCTGACTTGCTTCGTGTTCTCAGCGACTTCTATTTTAGTTATCTCTCTCTATTGAATTATTACTGATAACCAATCAGTCGATCAATCAGTGTGTTTCAAAAATATATAAATTAATTATAAATTAAGAAAAATATGCAGCATTTATGGAATTGAAACTGGTTTAGTTTCCGCACGTGTCACCTTTGTGGTTTAAATTTTTGTTTCAGGTAGGCAAGGTACAACCAGTTGTAAGAGTAAAATTCCCTGTTGTCTGTACCAAGCAATACTTTCTAACCTAACCTTAGATAATAATAATATATAATAATAATCCTTGCATTTGATATAGCGCTTTTCACGTCTTCTCGACATCTCAAAGTGCTTCACAGAATAGACTGTAAAGTTAATTGACTGTATATTTGTGGGCGAAATGCGTCAGCCAATTGCGCACAGGAGTGTCCCACAAACAGTCGTGGATTGAAAATGACCAATTTATTATTGTTTTTTGTTTTGGAGGGATTATTATCAGGCGTGTGGAGTAGGGAAACTTGCCCAAGGTTTCGCCCTGCCTGGAATTGAACCCAGATGTCCCGCTTGCAAGGCGAGTGCTCTAACCACTGAGCTACAGGACTACTTAGATCACACTATACCAAGGCATTATCATCTGAATTGATTCAAAGAAAAAGTTGATTGTCAAGTTTGTCTGCCATTGACCTTGGAAACCTCACAAAGTACAGGGGGGAAGCAGGAACAGATGAAATACAAACAATTACATTTGTTTGTATTTTTTCCTAAAATCTACCTTAAAGAAAAAGTAATTCTTTGAGTACTGCAAAATACATAGTCACTACACTTCACAATAAACCATGTGAAACGCTTTGAGATGTCCTCCTGATGCGAAAGGTGCTATAATGGATGCAAGGATTATTTATTTATTATTTATCATGACACCTTTGAAATGGAGATGGGGTATTCTTTTATGACAAAAGAAACTATTGCGATTGAGTAATGATTGAATACTTATAATAATCATTGTGCCTTTCAAAACAATGACTTGAAAACTATCTTGAGGATCGAAGGTTGCATTTGTGAAGAAGTGTCATGTAATAATAAGTATCTTCTTGGTTCTGAGAGGAATAAAAGTAATCATACCCTTTCTTAAAGAGCGTCATGTAATTTATATAGGCAGACACATTGGAGGGAGATGATGTTCGACCATGAACACTCTTAGAAACATTTTCTGATATTTATCAAGTTCAATTGTGAGGGAGTTAATGTATTTTAGTCACATCACTTCACTTGATTTGTCTCCCTGTTTCTAAAGGAAAGGAGTTGGTGTGCAGAATGATTTTCTCTGCACTGGACGTGCTTTGTAGTATTAATTCTGACAGCAAAAGTGATAAAAGGCTAAACCCTTGATTTATTACCATCCTACGTTTTAACTTATTACGTGACTTTTATGATTAAAAAAAGACTAAACATTTATGTTGCTGGTTCTGCTCTGTACCCTGGCTGTGAGGAACCTGCTGTTGGGTTTCAGAACAACTAATGAGACAGTTAAACATTAGTGCTGTTCAGTTGAATGAAGAAATTGCTTAATTTTGATATCCCCACACCTACATGGACATTTCATTAATACATGGTATTAGGTAATATGGGCACCATCTACAACAATGATCGCTTGGCTGTTTTGCCGGGGGAAGTGGGGGGGATGGGAATGGGGAGAAATCTTTAGAAACATTAGCAGACCCACATGTTTTGTCTTTGCAAATTTATGGAAATAACTGTAAACGGCACAGGTTCAGGGGCCTCCTACAATGTGAGTCGAAAATATGCCGTAGACTTCACAAAAGATGGTGGTTTTCCTTTTTAGTAAATCATGAAATGCTACTCACGTTCATACTAAAATATCTGAATTCTCATGGGCAAAGCTGTTGGTAGCAGACAATTGTAAGATAGATACAAAGTCCCATGGGAAGGCAATTGATGTATCATACACATTTTTTTTTAGTTTTTTCTGCGTTCATCTGAGCGCACAGGGTAGAACCACTATCCTATGATAAGGATCCACTCCTGCTTGCCAGGAAGCCATAACTATACGTAGTGCCTTTTATTACACTGTACGAATGCCTCTTAATTGCATTACTTTAAGTAACAAAAATTTATCAATTCTTCTTAACAAGAAGTCTTTACTAATATATTTTTATGCAGAGATAAAAGTTGCCTGGGATCAGTTCAGGAAGCTGCGATGTGGACTGAGTGAAGCTGTCACATTTATACGTCTATTAGGGTGGTTTAATAGCCATTTATTAGACTTCCTCTTGTTGTGCATTAGCACAAATCCACATGTGCATGTCAAGGCGCTGTGCACACAAACAATTTATTTTTCATACACTCAGCAAACGGAACAACAGATGATATGGCTTTGCTTTTGCGGGCAGAGTTGAGAATGTGATGGGCTGAATGTGAAACTAAATCTTACCTTGTTTCCACTGCATTCCCTTGATACTGGTTCTCTCTGTGGAACTTATTTCGACAGTCATTCAGGGTTGTGATTTGATATCTGATGCAAACTCCGATTGTTAGTTTAAATGAATATCTCAGATTTGGTGTGTGTGTGTTGAGGGGGGTGGGGGGGAAGGAGGAAAAATGGGTGGTGCAGTTATTAAGAACCCTGACCTTTTACCATACAGATATGATTTCAAGCCAGCCCAGCAAGATTGGATGAAAATCTTTCTCCCAAAGCTATTATTGGGTCCTAAAAGAGGTTTACTGTGTAGTCAGATTCCCTTTGGACACAAGTCCACAGCACAAACCATGGTCATAGTTTGGTCAGTCGGTCATTTCATTCAGCAAGGCCAAAGAGCTGGTGAACACAGCAATTGGAAACATCACCTGGATGGAGTACAGGTGGTCTTGTGAGATTGAGGTGAAGGAACACTGATGCAATTGGGGTGTCGGCTGCTTAGCTTGTGCAACAAACATCTGACGGGAGTTTGACACTCGTAGGTAAAAAGGAAAACAAATTACATCTCCAACCTTGTCGTCTTCTACCAAAAAGGTTAGGGGAAATAACCTTTGAAGAAACAATCCCGTGGCTAATTAGTTCAGGGAGTAAAATAATGTGAGACTGGTAGAAATCTTGAAAGTAGGTGAGAAAGTTAAAAAAAAATCCATGGTTAGGGCTGTTTGCACTCTGTTAGGAGTAATATAGGCAATTCACATAAAGGGGTGATAGGTTTGCATGTGTTCACATCAGAGATGCTTTAACCTAATGAAATATTGGACTTGGTGAAATATCATTCAGGAAGACTGAAAAAATTGACTTTTCTTGATGTTCATTTGAAATCTCAGGCCAGGATTTTTAAAGAAAAATAAAAATCTTTCGAGAGTAAAATATAACTGGAACATTTAGGATTGTCACCTTTCAACATTCTAACACTGTTAAGCTTTGAAGCCCAATATTCTGTCTCTCTCCTCCTGTATTCTTCACACACATACAGTACTAGGTGTTGAGATGAAGCAACAATATTTGAAATTTGCTTTGGACACACTGAGATTGCAGTTTGATTTTGCTTCACACCCCTCTCTCCTGCTTGCCAGAATGAAATGAAAATAGGCATAGCACTGATTAAACATGATTTTAATGTTTAATCTTACTCGTGAAACAATATCTAACGGAGCAGGGTTGAGTCGTTGTGGGTGCTTTAGCAGTTAGTGTCTTAAAAATCACAATTAAAAATTAAACCACTGCTCTGTGCTCTGGAATAAGGCCTTGTTGATAGTTGGTGAAGATCCCTCAGGCAGAAACTGTTCTGTAGAAGCGGGGGAGTGTGTGTGTGTGGGGGTGGGGGTTTAGGTTAAGGCCATTCAGTCCCAAACCTATCATGTAAGACAGGTTTTGAAGTGACATTTTAATCACATGTTCTGCCCTTGTAATACTTCTGACATTACTGCATTCTACCCCAACCCCTCCAATCAATCCTAACACTCACTTGGTTAGGAGAGAGATCAAAAAAAGTTAGTTTCAAACAAAAGCTTAAGGATAAGGCCTAAGGAAAGTCTTATTGTGGGATAATCAAGGTTAGTCAAGGTCACTACTATAACAATCTGCTTAAGTCTCATGTAAATGAATATTAGATGACAGCTATATTGAAATGAATGGTAGAGGTGGCTTGCCGGGCATTGCGAAATTGCTGCCCACTGGCTGAAAATAACACATTGAAGTCTTTGATTCTGTTGTTCATTTGAATAATTTTTCCCCGTGCTCCTAAAATGAATGGTCACTCCTGTTTAAAATAACATTCAGAGCTTGTGTAGTGAAAAGATTTCATTCAGAACGACCAGTAAATCAGGTGAAGTACATCCTTTGCAAGAGGCATAATGGTTAAAGTGAACTTAAAAGCCTTGCCTACGTTGAGTTTCTTATCACACCTGATCAGTTTAATACTCTATTTAACCTTATTGCAAAACTGTCTGGTGTGGTTATTGCTCTGATATATACACACCTCCTCATTCATTATTGCGAGCGTTAATCACTTGAAGCTTTGCAACTTTATGGTGGTCAGATTATAATAAAAGAACAATATGCATTTTGCTTTGTGACTTTCTACTCTTTCAAGTTCAACATTACCTGTTGATGTGTTCAAATTGCTCTTGTGATTCTTTTAACAAAAATCCATTCCCATCGACACCAAATGCTTATTAAATGTTCATGGGACAGTTTGTCTCATGGAATTTACTTTGGAGCAAACAGATACATGGCAATGTTTATCTTTGGTGTTTGAAAAAGTCTTAAACAATGTAATAGTGCCCTGAGAAATGTCCTCGCACATCATTGTTGCCTGCATGTGTACCCAGAATTTTTATTGGAATACTGGGGCCTAATTTGCAGCATTTCTCTTTTTTGTTAAATGTTATTTTAATGGGTGTTTCATTTTGTAATGGTAAATTTAACAAGAGGAGAAAAATAAACACTTAATAGCATTGGAAGAAGATGAGTGGAGCCTGCACATTACTTGCAGTACTCCTTAACAGGATACCTGACTGAGGAATCTAAGTCATGCAAATGAGGGACTCTTTTAATGGTATATAATGCCAGCCCTGGGAAACTTCACTCTGGAACTGGAACAAATAGAAATTTAACTGGATTCCCGATGGAGAATTACTACAATGAGTATTAAGTTAACCAAAAGTCTAAAGGGGATACTTTCCATTCAAACTTCTCAGTCTGAATAAACGTATAAAACATTTGGTACTTGGTTAAACATTCCATCCTATGTCTTGTCTAATATCGCATTGACTGAAGCCCTGTAGTTTCCAATGACATTTTACAGTCATTTGTATAATTTGCCCACTATGGACTACAGATACCTGAATTCCCTTTACATGTTCCCTGTGCTGGGCAGAGTCCAAATATTCCACATTAAATCTGGCATTGGGTGTACAAGTGTTTCAGTCACATATTTGCTCTGTCACAAAAGTGCCAGCCTGTGTGACATGAGAGATGCTGAGCACATGCCTATAGCTGTGTGATTTAATTTAGCATTGTATTCCCGTAAAGTAACATTAGGAATCGATCATGTATCATTCTAATGATACACAAGAGTGATTAAGAGGCAGTAATCTTACCAAGTGCTTCAGGTGACATCAGAAACCATGACAACGAAGCTGGAGTCATTTGTAATTGCTATCGGAATCACATGACAGGGTCACAACCTTAAGTCACCCCTGTGTCTCTGCTCTTTTTACAATGTCTACCTGCAAATTTGGCAGAATTGGGCATCGTGATAGCTTCATGGGCCCTGTGTAATAGATGTGAGATAGTGCTGCATTCAAGGAATGATGATTGTACAGGATTATCGAGTTATTGTTTATTTGGTGTCCAGGCACGGGCATAGCAACCCATCAATAGAACCATACAGGAGGTAAATCATGTAGAGTGGGCAGGAATTAGAATACTCAAAGGGACAAGTTCCCAATTACCTCCCCTGCTGAAATATCTGTGCACATTTCACAGGAGTTATTGCTTTTTAACAAGATTCATACCAGTTGAATCTCTGCAATGGATTTTGCATTGTTCCTGCACAGTAATGCAGGAGAATGCCTCAGATAGTTTTACAGAATTCGAGCACCGTTCAATGACTTAAGATTAATACATAAGGCAAAGTAGCTGATGTGATTCGATCGCATGGACTTTTTTAGGTTAGTCGCTGAAAGTGGGAATTTAATATTACGGCTCTCAAAGGTGTGACAACGCCAACAATTTGCATTTATATTGCACCCTTCCCGCAGGATAGCGTGTCAGAACATGGAAATTAAATTTCTTTTAGCTACATTTAAACCCAAATCGTAAATGATTCGAAGCAGTGTAATTCCAGAATGGCAATATGGCCGTTCAGACAACTAATTGCCAGCTGTGACGTGTGGTCTTAAGACTTTCTCTCTTAAACGTCCTCCTGATGTAAGAAGTTGACAGATGGCCTCCATGTGCTGCATTCAACTACTCCTAGACCTCACACACTGTAACTGCTAACACCGACTCCCAGTACCCTGGGGTCTGACCGTATTGGCCCAATTCCCAGTCTTAGCTAGGTGTAGCCTTGAAAACACATGTGCCTAACCTATGATATCAGATCTCATAAACCCAAAAAGTGCCACAGGCTAATTCTTTGTCAGAATTTTAAATCGCGATTGCAATGTGCGATATTTTTCCTTGGTGAATGCCTGGTTTGGGTATGTAATGGTAAAACTAACTGCGGTGGTAAAGAGAAGGGACAAATAAAGAACGCAGATGTAGTCAGAACGTACTTTTATCCTTAAGAAAGAGCTGATCTGAATGGCAAAGCAACGAATGAATGCTGGGATGGCAGGTTTGATTTATCTGCACAGGTTTGATCAAAAACTGGTCGGCTAAATTTTGCCTTCAAAGAAAGCACAGTTGGAGGTTTTTGTGTAACATAGCAAATTGCATTAAAAATATCCAAGCATTTGCATGACTTCCTAATTTGACAGAGTTTTACCATGATGTATGTCTTCTGACAGCTTCCTGGCCTGTGTTCATCTAAATTTCTATTGTACAATTACTAAATACATTTTTTTTGTTCAATTCAATGCTCTTCACTATTTAAACATTCTTGAATATGGCTCTTATTTTAGAGTTTCCCACTGCTACATATTTATCCGAATCTGTAACACTGTAGAAGACATTGCAAATTGTTTTTTTGGAACAAAGACTTTATTTGCTCGAAAGTATTTTCCATCATATTTGTTGTAACACACATCTCCTATATAAATTGCCCCAGCTACTGAAATCTTGACTCGTTTTATAACAGTTATTGCTTTTTGACAGGTTTATATTTGCTGTTGTTCTGCATAGGTCTATACAGAGAGCAAAAGCTGTTTCATTGGAGCCTTTTTTTATACAAGTAATGCAGTGCAGTGCTTCAGATAGTGTCGTTCAACTGAAGTGATTTTGGAGATTGATATTACCACATAGAGAAGGTAGTTGATGGGATTCTGTTCACTTTCTTCCATTAGTTGTTGAAAGTGGAGTCATATGTACTAGATTATTGTATTTCACACAGATTCAAAAACGCTGCAATATTGTTAATGTTTTGGTTTTAGTGTCTCGATTGAGAAGCCCATTTAAATGAGTTTTTCTTTTGCAGATTCCGGTTCAAATTATTTTTATTTTTTCACATTTTCTGTATTCATGGGGTTGAGCACTTTTGTAAGAACGTATTCACAACTTATTCATTGGACAAGTGAAATAAATATAAGCATTTCATTACAGAAGGACTTTAATGCCTGTTCCTCATTCAAGCAAGATAGAAGAAAGGATGTTTATCTTTTCACATTAGTTCTGTTTCTGCAGCTCAGTGCGCATTCAAGTTAGGACTACAAAGTATGCATACAGTATCACCAGAACAAATTGATGCCTGACTGTGTCAAATTTTAGAGACATTTTACACAGAGAAACTGCTGTAAGTAGTTCCAATAGTTCAGGGAACACCGACCGGTCTGCTTCAAGTCCACGCCCGACCCACCTCACCATCAGTGGATCAGCTTTCCCACTCTCCCCACTTTCTCGAACTCTGTCCCAGAAGGGAATAGGGGATGGGGAGGGTGAGGCTTGTGTGAAGTATAAATGCAGACACAGACTCATTGGGCTGAATGACCTTTTTTTTGTACCATATCATAGTTTTCCATTTAATTCTATGAATAAGGCACTACACATCAAAGTATATATGAATCCAAGAAGCTCATTGAGGCATTTTGGCACATGGAGGTGCAAGTATTGTTAATTATAAAGCATTTATTGTCTCAAAACAAGCAGTCATGCTCACGTGGTCCAAAGGTATTTTCTCCTATCAGCCATTTGTGATATTGTGCAAAGCACTTTGCCTTCTGTACAGGTGAAATCGCAGGGAAATCGTGCCAGTAAATCGTATTGAATTAATAACGTTTTTGCATTTTTCAGGGATCCAGCGGCGCCGGCTCATTCCTACTCCTTTGCCCGATGCTTCGTCCTTGGGACGGAAACCGACCACGGGAGCAGGGCAGTGGGTGGATCTGCCACCACTGCCGGGCACTCTGAAAGAGTCGTTTGAAATTAAGGTTTATGAGATTGATGATGTGGAACGGTTACAACGACACAGGCAGGAAGAAAATGAGGTCAGTACATTTAGTACAACAATTTTAGACACCCTGAGTTATGGCTTCGGTGAAAAATGGCTGCTTAAATACAGGCAGAATACAACGGCGTACAGAAGATTGACTGCAATTAAATGACTATAATTATTAATTTTACAATGCATATGTTGAAGTGCCCTTACAAAGAGGAGATAAAAATAATTACTATCCACAATTAATCATGGTTTGCCAGGAGAGATGGTATAGGAGAAGAAAAATCTATGAATATATTATGAATGAACCTTTGCAGTTTTTGCCTGCTATTATCAAACTTTATAGTCGCTCTGCACCAGGGTCATTAACTCCTTTGCAGAGGAGCAAAAGTATGCTCTTTGGAATTATATTACATCAGCAGTATTATAATCTGATTTGCTTCCAATTAACTAAGGATTATGCATAATATCCGCTGTCAGCCTTTTAAAGGATTTGTCATTTTAACTTTTGTTTTATCTTTTTCACTGGCGTTAACTGTGCAGCAGCCTTTCCAAGACGTTGACAAGGTAAGAACCTTGGGCAGATTTATTATCCTCCCTGCACTTTTCCCTGAGTTCATGAAAGTTATAAACGTAAAGTGGAAAATTCTAATTTCTTGTACGATGGCTTGCTGTGAAGGAATGGTTTAAAACAAGGGCAATGTCTTCCTTGCCTGACAGGGCTTGTTGTACTTCAACACAAAGCTGAAGATCTTGGAGAAGCGTCAGCAGAGGATAAGAGAGTTAAAGGCAAAGCACGAGGTGTTGAAAAAGGAGCTGGAGGATACAAAGGACAGGCTGATGATGGATCCTGATAAATGGAATTCTGAGTGTAAGTACATTGGAAGCTTTTTCCATTCCGTCAGAAAACCTGCGGGTTGGGAGAAAGAAAAGGTTTATTCTTCATATGAATGATATGGTAATTCCGTTTACTTTCCTATCAAAATGCAAATAGCCACTTGAGCAGCAAGTCTACCATGATATACTGTGTGTGATATATATGTAGGTGCAGCAAACTCCAGGGAGGAAAGCTAAAAAAAAGGTCACGCTTAAATGATCCTCTGGCTTAAAACAAAATCCTGTCCCACTTCAGTGATTCCAGGTGCAAATCTCTGTCAAAGAAGCATTCACCTGCCAACACTCGGGAGCAAACTAAGAATTTATGCATTTAGGAACAGCCTAATTTATTAATTCAGTAGGTAGAGGAATTTTCAGGAGAGTCAGATTTATTACTGCCTCAGGAGTTATTGGGTGAGGATGAAAGAATAGTGCTGAATTTCAGGTATAATTCTAATCATTTTGGAAAAGTCCTAGACTTTTTAAGTCATCGATCTGTTTTTGGACTGGACTCTTCAGGACTCTGCCGCAGGTCATGTAGATGGGATAAGAAGATGTTTTCCTGCTGGGATTGGGATGTCCTGGGACACTTGCAACATCATTGGAGGGAGGGGAGACCAAAACGATTCATTTCTTTCGTAATCTAGTGAAGGTATAGAGAAAGGAAACAAGTCAGTTTCCTGGTTGGTAATCCTGGTAATCTCTGGAAGCTCACCCAATTTGTACGTTTTGCCTGAATGTTTGGAGCTATCCTGATTTTAGGTGATCCAAGTTCAAATCTAAAAGAAACTTGACTGTTTTATCTGTTCAGAAGTTAGCAGTTTTCAAGAACAGGATTGAAGAGTGCCTCACAAAAAACTAATACAGCTGCGTCAAAATATCATAGCTGTTCTGGAAGGGTAAAAAGACCTATTAATGTGTTAAAGAATTCTTACTCAGCAACTGGCAATCTTGCCATTGTGTGGCCCCCAAATTAACGTGAATACATGATCTTGAATGCCCGAGGCATTGTTAATTTGAGGTCACACATTGAACACTTTTCGTGCAGAATTTTTTTTTATTCCTTTTTCTTTTTGAAAATAATTCTTCAAGCAATATGCAAATCCCAACCATTGCAGAGCCCGGTATTGTTACTCCAGTAGTACTTTGAGCTTGTGCTACTGGACGAAGAACCTCTTTATCCCCAGGCAGCAGGCTATGGATTTTTCTGTTCTTCTCTATTGATATCCTCCAAGGGTAAACAACAACAACTTGTATTTATATAGCGCCCTTCACACAGGGTAGTGTCCCGGAGCGCTTAAAGCATATAAATAATTGAGCCGCATTTATTTAATTTTTTGTGTGCAGTCTGAACTCCAGTTATTTACTTTATTCAGCAAATAATTCATTACATTTCATCTCTGAGCTACTTACTTAGTAGGAGTAACATTTACTTTCTCAAAAAAAAGCCTTCTTAGTATGTTAAGAATTTCTGCTTCTGGTAATAGAATATCATTGACATGTAGATTTCATTAGAGGGGATACTATTTAGTGGGTTTAGAAGAATTAATAACAGGACCACCACATTAAGGGATTCAAGCGTAACAATACAATCGACGTCTCAGCAATATCCATGGATTATAATTTTCATTGGTAAATTAAAAAAACGCTACTTTTTTAAGTGCTTAACACGAGATTGTAAAGAAGGGCCAGGGTTTTATCACTATCATCAACCATGAAGCAAATTCCCAATCCGAGTAGTGCGGTGGGAAGGGGCCAGGTAATTCTCTACATGGAGAGAGGGAAAATCGAAAAGTGAGGCACACTGGGTCACATTCATGCATCACTTAACAACTGATTACAGAACAGTATCATCAGAGGTCACCTCCTGCCAATTCCCAGTGGGGATTGGTACATGTTGTGGAGGACTGAGATAGAGAAAGAGAGAGAGACAGACAGAGAACGGATTAATTAAAAAAAGAGAGGTAAAGAAAGAGTCATTGTAAGCAGATCCTTCGCATGTTTACTGAGAGGATAAAAGAAATGATATTAAATTACCAACCATTATGAAAGTGTCATTTATAATTGCACTGATGTGTTTATCTAATTCATTTGTGCTACTTTTCTCCCCTTATAGTTGAGGTTGACCCAGACCTGGATAAAGACTCCCTGGAGTATTTGGAAGCTTTGGAAGAGGTAACAGAGGAACTTGAGCAACGTGTCAACCTATGCAAGTCAAGGATCATGATGGTGACTTGTTTTGATATTGGTGTGATCATTGATGTGCATGATGGACCAAGGGAAGTGCAGGTTTAAAGGCTGCCATTTGGTGAAAAGGATTAAAACCCAAGTCATTCTACGGTGGAAGTAGGCATGTGATGAAGAAATAAATGCTTGAGGCATTATGAGTAAGAAGACGTTGGTGATGTGAAGACAGAAAAGGTGACAGAGGATGTTGATGGGAGAGTTGCTGTGGTGACAATGAATCTTGATGGTGAGCTGTGTAAATCAATACAGTGCCTCAGAACTTAAACTGAATGAAAGTTTAAACTGTTGATAAGAGCAATTTCCTTTCTCAGAAGGAAGAGAGAAGGCAATGTAAACCAGGAAGAAAAAGAACCGCAAACCTTAAAGTGCCTTTTTGACCGACTTGATTTATTTGCATTGGTGCTAGTAATGAAACCAGCTGTACACACTGAAACAAATTGCTTATTTTATATTGTATATTGTATTTATATGATGTATGTAAAAATGTCATTGTAGCAAAGCAATAAGTAAATTATGTTCACATCACGGACTTTGCCTTCTCATTTAAAGGAGAGCTGTTTATATGTTTTCAATTTCAACATGTTCCCTTGTATATTAATATTCCATTGTATTCTGTTTTATTATTGTTTTTTATAGAAACAAAGTTCCATGAGTTGAGGCATGTTATGAACTAAGAATATGAAATGTATTGAATTTTTTGGAGACTTTTTATATGAAATCCTGTCTGTTTTTTGTGCAACTTCTTTTTACATACTGATATTATTACAGAAGGTTGGAATGAAATTCCTAGTTTTTTTTTTTAAAATTGGTTAAAGCGATCAGTAAAGGGGTTTCTGTGCCAAGTAGCATGAACCAGTGCTATCAGTAAGTATCAGTGCAGCTAATGTGTGACCTATCACCGTGAATCCAATATTACAAGTTGTTTAAGAGATTGATTTATAACTTTTTTTAAAAAAAACCAAAAACAGGTTTACAAAATAACAGTTACTGATTTATAAAACACTGGTTCTGTAGTTTTAAAAAAAAAGATTGCATCTCAGGATTTCAGCAAAAAACACAAATTTGATAGAAGAGGTATTTACATTTGAACTCGCTACATAACGTTTGTGTAATTTTTTTTAATACTAGATAGCGACCACTATTGTGATGAATTATTGCCAAACAAAAACACTTTTACATGAGGAAATAATAAATACAATATCACAATTCATAGCGAATGATATTTTCTAACCATTTAATTTGTAAAGGTTTTTTTTCAGAACCTTTGTATAAATGTACATTATGGTAGCTTGCAGTAGCTTTTATCTGTGAATAAATGACATGTCTACTGGTATTAATATTTGTGCTTCATAGTTATAATTTTACATTCGGAAACAGCATCATGATGTAAAACCAGTATGTTACACTTTACACCGTGCAGTTTACTTTGGTAGTCAATAACTGGAGAGTTGATATGTTCATAACTAAAATGTTTGTGTCATCTCTGAAACGAAAAGCTGGGCCTATTTTGTAGGGCTGGATGCTACTATGGCTCTCTCAAATGCCACATATAATTCCATGCTCCCTCTCCCAACCCCAAAAGCATGATACACAGCAAACATTTAGTTTAATAAAGATAATTATAATGATAATAATCCCTCAAGAAAAAAACACAATAATAATTTGGTCACTTCAATCCACGACTTTTTGTGGGACACCGCTGTGTGCAATTGGCTGCCGGGTTTTGCCCACAACTATACAATCAATTCATGGTATATTCTTTAAAGCTCTTTGAGACGTCGAGAAGATGTGAAAAGTGCTATATCAAATGCAAGGATTTTTATCAGTTTACTAAACATTAGATGTGATCCACTCACACTTCAACAAAAAAAAATGCAAGGAAGGAAAAGCTATCAGCAAGAATCTCAGCCCAAAGATTGCTCTGTTTTAAGTTTTGGAAAGTTTTGAATTCACGCACTTTTTTTGCCAAACATGCCTTTTGCAAACTGTTGAAAAAAGCACAATGCGGAGGAATATCTCTTCTGACGCGAGTGAGGTGACACTATTTGATGACTATCACTCACAGGTGGATTCACACCCTGAGAATGTACTGTGTGACAGCAGCAATAGAAGTTGATTAATGCTTTTGTACCATAGAGCTGAAACAATGATCCAACACATCATTTTCTTGGGACTCCAGTATTTGGGAATAGGAAATCGTTCTCAAATACTTGTTGAGGTTTAAGAATCCATTTTTAAGTTCTAGAGGCCCCTCTTTGTGGATATAATAGGCATGCACTTACATCACAGATATTCCAATTTACGAAGTAAACCTGCATGTGTTATGTGAAGGAAATGCTTATAATCATTGGGGAGAAAAGCAAAACGGTTAATGTAATATAAAAATATTTTCTTCTTGTTAACAATCTTTACTTTTCATGAATCCAGAAAAATGAACGAAAACAGATTTCTGATTACTATTGCCTTATTGACATAACATGCAGCATGGTTTTGAGCCTACAACAACAACAACATCAAGATTCTATTTATAGAGCACCTTTCACGTCGGGAGGACGTCCCAAGGCGCTGGACAGTTGGGTCAGGACCCAAGCATTGGGGGGAAATGGTCAGGGTAAGGAGAGGGAAGGGAGTGAGCGAGGAGGGGGTAGAGAGTCGAGAGGAGAGCTGAAGGCACGGTCAAAGAGAAAGGTCTTGAGACCGGCCTTGAAGGAGGAAAGGGAGGAAGCGGTGAAGGCACTGGGGGATGGAGTTCCAGAGCCTTGGGGCTGAGAGGCTGAAGGCCCGGCCACCAATGGTAGGGAGGTTGGGGCGGGGGATGTGGAGCAGACCGGAGCCAGAGGAACGGAGGGTACAGGCAGGTAAGTAGGGGGATAGTAGGTCAGAGAGGTAGGAGGGAGCAAGGCCGTGAATGGCCTTGTAGGTGAGGATGAGGATCTTGAAATCAATCCTCTGGGGGATGGGGAGCCAGTGGAGGCGAGCGAGGGTGGGAGTGATGTGGTCGCGAAGCCTGTGCGGGACAGTACACGAGCTGCAGAGTTCTGAATGACCTGCAGCTTGTGGAGGGAGGTGCCGGGAAGGCCGGCGAGGAGAGAGTTCCCATAGTCCAGCCTTGAGGTGATAAAGGCGTTTAAAGGCGATAAAGTTTCAGCAGCGTGAGGGGTGAGGTAGTGCCGTAGTCTGGCGATATTCCAGAGGTGATGGAAGGCGGTGCCAGTTGTGGCGCGGATATGAGGGAGAAAGGACAGCTCAGGGTCGAACAGAACCCCGAGGTTCCTGATGGCTTTGAGAGGTGGAGAGTGCAGCCTTGGATGCTGATGGTGTCAGCGCCTGAGGTGCGGAGGCGCTGACGTGAGCCAATCAGGAGGGCCTCAGTTTTGCACACGTTGAGCTGAAGAAAGTTGTCTCTCGTCCAGGACTCGATGTTGGACAGACAGCTGTCAGGACATCGGTGGTCGTGGAGTTGAGGGTAGAGGAGGAAAGGTAGAGTTGGGTGTCATCCGCATACATGTGGAAGTTAACCCCATGTCTGCGGATGATGTCACCAAGGGGGAGCATATAGAGGGTGAAGAGGAGGGGACCGAGGACAGAGCCCTGAGGGACACCGCACGAGACAGTGCGGGGGCCGGAGGAAAAGCCATTCGTGGAAACAAAGTGAAGACGGTGGGAGAGGTACGACCTAAACCACTCAAGGACAGGGCCTTGAAGGTTGAGGTGGGAGGACAAGCGGTGGAGGAGGATAGCGTGGTCGACCGTATCGAATGCTGCCGATAGGTCGAGGAGGACGAGGAGGCAGAGGGAGCCCTGGTCACAGATGGTCAGGATGTCATTGGTGACCTTGACCAGGGCAGTTTCTGTGCTATGGGCAGCATGGAAACCCGACTGAAGGGGTTCGAATAATGAATGGGTGGAGAGGAAAGAGCGCAGCTGGGAGGCGCAACTCGTTTCTGGACCTTGGACAGGAAGGGGAGGTTGGAGATGGGCCGGTAGCTTGATAGCTGCGACGCATCAAGGGAGGGTTTTTTCAAAGTGGGAGTGATGGTGGCAGTTTTTAGGGGAATGGGAATAGAGCCAGAGGAGAGGGACAGGTTGACGATGTCTGTGATATGTGGGGCAAGGAGGTGGAGCCGGGAGATAAGGAGTGGAGTGGGGATGGGGTCAAGGGAGCAGGTGGTGGGTTTCAGGGATGGGATGAGTTTGGTGACAGAGGGTGGGGAAACGAGTACGAAAGTGTGTAGGGGAGGATGGGTAGGAGTTGGAGTGTGGGAGGGAGGGGATGGGGGGTGGGTGGATGTTGGAGGGGAAGTGACTGCGGAGCGAATTCCCTTGATTTTGGATTCAAGGAAATCCAGCATCTGGTATAAGTAGTAGCTCTATTATACACTGCAATGCAAATGAAAGCCTCATTTAGAATTGATTAATCATATTTGGCTGTTTGGCTGATTACTTGACACACTCATTTTTTAATTTCCATGTGCATTCTTACTATTGAGTGTACTTTTAGAAATCTTCAATCTTAATTTCAATGATACGATACTAAATTCCCCCCAAATAATTTTTCTTTTGGAGTACAGCAAACCTCCTTTCAGAAACATTTTGTTTCACTTTACGAGGATATACACGCTTATCTAGTTTGGTTGGTATAAATTTCCAGATCTTAATGCAGAGGACAGAAATATTCCTGTCAATTAAACTAGTACATAGTATATTTGTCATCCTTGCATTTGATATAGCAGCTTATCAAGGCGTTGAAATGTCTCAAAGCGCTTCACATGAACTACTGTAACATGTAGTGACTGTAGAACCTATAGGTGAACATAGTAACCATGATATGGGCCTCAGACCAACAAACATGGCTCATTATTCAATGTTGCATTGAAAACCAGAGAAAGAACGACTGTGCTTCAGACATCTGTGACAGAGTACATTTATTCTAGTAAGGGACTTGCTGTCACAAAAGAGCTCAGAAAGTATTCTTCTAAAATTAATGACATTGGTACTTCCCTGGAAAGAACATTTGTAAGCAGAGCTTATACAGAGCAATAATCACCCCAATTAGTGCGAAGATAATTAGTTCATGCATCCAAATGCTCCGAGGCAAACTACAGTCTGGAAAATTTGTAAAAAACTGTTGCTTTTATTGTGGCTTGAACAATACTCCAATGATTTGTGTCAATGAGCCTGAACACTATACAATGAAGGTAGATTAAGCTGGAGAAAAATGAGCCATGGCCTGTGATAATGGTAGAGCATTTTCTTAAAAAAGAAACAAAAAAAAGCAACTGAATGCATCGATGGGAATTTTTTGGGTTACCTCATGATAGGACTAACTATTCTACACGGCAAAAGGAAGATCTTGTCATTCTGAAGACTTCATTGTGAACGGGAAGGTTTTTTACTCTCTGGTCAAACGGCA